AACAGATATACATAAGAATCTAGTGACAATTCCTTTGAGTAAACATAATTGTCAAACTTGTTCCGAGTGTAGCCATTCGAGATCATGAATAAATCAAATCTCTTGTACCATTGTCTTGGAGACTGCTTCACACCATACAAGGATTTCTTCAGCAAACATACATAATCCTTCTTAGAATCAAGGAACCCTTCTAGATGGGACATATAAATCTTCTCTTTTAAGTTCCCATGAAGAAATGCAGTTTTCACATCAAGCTGTTCAAGCTCTATATTAAATGAACTCACCATGGCCAAAAGAACCCAAATTGTCTTGTGCTTCACGACCGGTGAGAACATCTCGTAATAATCAATTCCTTCTTTCTGAGAAAACTCTTTCGCCACCAACCTTTCCTTGAACCCTACTGGTTCAACCCCTAGTATCCCTTCCTTCTTCTTAAAGATCCATTTGCATCCCACTGGCTTTGCTCCTTTTGGTAATGGAACAAGATCTCATGTTTCATTCTTCTCTAAAGATTGCATTTCTTCATTCATGGACATCAACCAGTCATTTGCTTCTTTACTCGTCACAACCTCTTTATACGATTGAGGCTCCTCGGTGTCAATGTCTTCTCCAGTTGCTAAAGCAAAAGCAATGGAGTCAAGTTCACCTGAATTCACACATCCCACATATCAATCGGGTTGTTGAATGACCCTCTTTGATCTTCTCTTTGCTATAGATTCGGACCCATCATCCTTCCTGGCATCAGCACCACTGGACGAAGATCCCATGGATTGCTCTTGGGTTTCATCTTGTCCAGGCTGTTTATTGCCACCTTGCTCTTTGTCACTTATCATAACTCGGTCTGGAGTTTGAGTTTCAAACTCCACCTTCTGGATAGCATCCTGATCTTTGTTCCCTGCTTGACTTGTATCACCTCCTCCCTAGTTATCTATGGTAGATTCATCAAAGGTCACATCTTTGATCATAATAAATTTAGGAGTTCTTCCTTTTTCTGTACACCACATTCGATAACCTATTACTCCTGTCGCATATCCTAGATATATGCACTTCATTGCCCTTGGCTCAAGTTTACCATCATTCACATAAGCATATGCAGGGCATCCAAATATACGTAAACCAGAATAGTCAGAGGGTTTCCCGGACCATACCTCTTAAGGAGTCTTCAAGTCTATTGCAGTTGATGGTGATCTGTTCACCGGATAACAAGCAGTGTTAATTGCTTCCGCCTAAAATTTCTTGGATAAGTTAGCAAATATTTACATGCACCTAGCACGCTACATGAGTGTTTGGTTCATCCGTTCTGCCACTCCATTTTGTTGTGGTGTGTGTCATATAGTACGGTGCCTCACTATACCTCCTGCCTTGCAGAAATTATCAAATGGAGCATTGCAGAATTCCAACCCATTGTCAATCCTCAGAGTCTTGACCTGTTTTCCAGTCCTTTTCTCAATCATGGTCTTCCACTCCTTGAACTTCCCAAACACCTCATCTTTGGTCTTTAGAAAGTATAACCAAACCTTCCTTGAATAGTCATTAATGAACATCACAAAGTATGAGCATCCTCCTTGAGATTTCACTGGTGCAGGACCCCACATATCTAAGTGAACATACTCCAGGATTTCCTTGCTCATGTGTCGATCGGTATCGAACTTCACTTTACGATGCTTTACCTTGACATAAGCTTTACAAAACTTTATCTTTCTAGTAGCCTCTCCACCAAGTATTCCTTGTTTACTTAGAACTGACATGACCTTCTCACTCATGTGCCCCAACCTATGATGCCACAACTCTGTCTTGTCATCACCTTCATTCAAGGATTGGGAGATATCCACCATTACCATAACCGTACTGCTTTCTAGGATGTAGATCCCTCCACGATTCATCTTCCCTTTCATTATAACAAGAGAACCTTTTGGTCACTTTGACCCAGTCGCCTTCACCAGTATACTTCATCCAATTCTTAGCCAATGTGCCAAGAGAAATTAAATTCTTCCGAAGTTCTGGAACGTACCATCAATCTAACTTCCTAACCATGCCATCATGCATCTTGATCTTCACCGTGCCACTACTTTCGATACTGCTCACCCAGTCATCGCCCATCTTGACTGTGCCATCCCACTCTTTGAAGGAGTCGAACCAGTCGCGATTATACATCATGTGATAGGATGCTCCAGAATCCAAGACCCAAGCATTAGCAGAACTTGGTGTACTCACAGTCAGTACATCACCATCGTCCCTTCATCAGAACTTTCTTGAACCACAGCAGTAGTGTTATAGCTACTTGATTCACTCTTGAACTTCTCATTCTTCAGCTGTGGACAATTTCGCTTGAAGTGTCCCTTCTCCTTACAGTTATAACATTTCATGTTCGATGAACCTTTAGACTTCGATTGGGAATATGATCTCGCTCTGTTTCCCCCTTTCCTCTCTTATGTGCTCCCTCTCCCTGCAAACAAACCGGAACTACACACCTCCTCGCCAACTGAAACTTTTTTTTTCAGTTCCTTGGACATCAGAGAGTCCTTCACATCATTCACAGTGATCTTTGTCCTACCATAGAGCATGGTATCAACGAAATTCTCATATGAGTTAGGAAGAGAACATAAGAGAATGAGCGCCTAATCTTTATCTTCAATCTTTACATCAACCCCTTGTAGATCCAAGATGATGTGATTGAAGTTATTCGGATGATCTTTCACTTAGGTACTTTCCGACATTCTGAGAGTGTACAACCTTTTGCTTCTGATACAACTTGTTCTTCAATGAGTTGTTCTGGTACTTGTCACAAAGTTTGTCCTAGAGCCCAAAAGCAGTTCTTTGATCCATGACCTCCCTCAGTACTTCATTTGTTAAGCTCAATATAATGGCACTATGTGCCTTCGTCAGAATGTCCACCTTCTTCTCAGCTGCCATGTCCTTTGGCAGTTTTGCCTCTCCTTCCAGTGCAGCTGCATACCCTTGTTGAACCAGAAGAGCCTTCATCTTCACCTTCCACAATGTGAAGTCATTTGAACCATTGAATTTATCCAAATCAAACTAGTGAGTAGACATCTTTAATTACAGGAATACAAACCGCAGCTCTGATACCACTTGTTAGGAAGTAAAGCGGATAACTAGCAAAACTATAAGCACACAAGACACAATATTTACGAGGTTCGGTCAAGGCAACTCACGTCCACGGGCAGTCTTTTATTTTAGATCTCTCAAACAAAGGTTATAAGTACAATTACACAGAGACTCGCCTATCACTCTAGAATTCAAGATGCAAAATGACCTAGCATCCATCCCTATTCATACTTGAGGGATCAGACCTAAAACCCTAATGGGTCAAGCCCATAGGCCCATGAAAGGTGGCAACCAATCATATTTCGTCATGCAACATCTTCTGGAACATTCTTCCATGTCATACAGCCCATGAGCATCAGCAACACACATAATGGAGCACCTTGTGCCATTATGGAGCATCATGATGTACAAGTGGCGCATCATGAACACAAATGGCCCAACATCCATCATGGTGGCACAACATGGTGTAATCCTTGAGCAATACCAACTTTTGAGTATCCTTGAACGATCTTGAGCATCATAGAGGACTTCATAGCATACTTGGCTCATCAAGGACCAAGATGGTCCATCTTTCACCATCATGGCGCAACAGGAATATGGATGGCACAAGTGACTTCAAGTGTGGCGCAAGAACATCAAGATTTAAGCAACAATACCACAATGCGCAACAGGAACATGCATGGCGCAACAAGGCCATGCATGGCACAATAGCAATCCTCATGGCGCAAGAAGAGTAACCCTTGGTGCAAGAGGGATCCTCATGGCGTAATAGGAACCCCTCATGGCGCCAGAGGGAGTATCATGGCGCAAGAAGAGATGACATGGTGCAAGAGCATCCTTCTTGGCTCATCCCTTTAATATATGGTGCAACAAGGTTCCCATGTTGTTCCATATCACTCCCAAGTGCTCCAAACCTCTTCCATGTGCTCCAAACCTCCTTCTACATGATCCGTTCCTTTGGCACTTAATCCATTCCTTTGTCGGACAATTCATTCCTTTCTCAGATGATTTGTTCCTTTGTCACGTGATCCATGAAGCCCAAGTGCTCCATTGAGTTCCAAGTGCTTCAAATGCCCCATAAACATGATCCAAATGCTCGAGTCACATTTAACATATATATATATATATATATATATATATATATAAGTGTACTAGTCTTCATATTCAAACATATATTATTTGTGAGTTGTGACAAAGGAATTTAGATGATATATATAACATGGTGTTTGTATATCATGGTTGTTGGCTAAGAAGGGTAATCATAATAATTACCAAAATAAAATTTAGGACTTCATTTTAATTTAAAAACGTTTGAATGTGTTTGGTTCTCAATTGGTTATTGGATTTACAACTGGCTCGAATACTATAACCAATTTTAAAATTGAGATTATTTTGAATATATATATATATATATATATATATATATATATATATATATATATATATATATATATATATATAGGTCTAAATTGTAAATAAATAAATAATACAAAGTATATGGTCTTTTATAGAAACAAAAACACTAAGTTTACCTATTGATGACCTGCTAAGGTCCGAAATAACAAGTAGCAAATAAAACTTAAAAAGTTTTAGATTTAAAAAAAAAATCAAAATATCACATCTTTTATGGAAATAACCCTATAAACCTATAAACGACAATAAAATAGAAAGTTTCTATACAAATAGTCACGTGCCCACACAACAATTTTAACAACAATATCTTGTTTTACGAGGTTTGAAATGACAAGATGCCCATGCCTTTGGGAGCGAGTCTGGGGGACTAAACTTGTACGGAATGGTCACCCTTTTGACTTGCCTACAATTATGCTCTTGGTGCCATTTAAGCTCTTGCCAACGTGATCTAATACCAAACAAAACAACATGTGATCATTTTTGCAATCCAAAACAAAAAGTCACATCTTTGAGAGAGGGAAATGGAAGATGGAAGGCAGGGAAAAGTAAAACTAGAAAACCCGTGTTCAAAGAACAACGAAATTAATAGTAGCAGTAATAATAACAACAAAGAACAAGACAGGTTCTTGCCGATAGCAAATGTTGGCCGCATCATGAAAAAAGTGATCCCGGCAAACGGGAAAATCTCAAAAGACGCAAAAGAAACCGTCCAAGAATGCGTCTCAGAATTCATCAGCTTCATCACGGGGGAAGCCTCAGATAAATGCCAACAAGAGAAGCGGAAGACGATCAATGGTGATGACATTATATGGGCGATCACGACATTAGGGTTTGAGGAATACGTAGATCCGCTCCAAAAGTATCTTCTCAAGTATCGAGACTTGGAAGGAGATAAGGGGAACAATAACGGGCCTAAACAACATCATCAACAACAACAGCAACAACAACATAATACAACAAACAGTTTGCCATATGAAAGCGTCTATTCTTCTTCTGCGGCAAGCATCATTTCTCAATCATATGGTTTGCCGTTTTCTCCAAGTTCAATTCAGACACAAATACATCCACAAGAAAGCATTGATTCTGTTGGACATTGGTAAATGAATGTTCTTATGATTCATAAATACAATTTGTAACTATGGATTTTTCTTAGAGTGCTTAATTACACTTTGGAATAGATGGTTTTGTTTGAACCTAAATCCCGAAGGCGTAATCTCGTGTTAAAATGAAAGGTCAATACGGATATTCCTACTAATATATTAAACAATAACATGGCCTACGTCATACAAAGCCTTTTTACTCAAAATTATCCTACTTTTGAACTATTTTTAAGTCGATTAGCGTTCTTTATTAGTGCATTACAAGTTGTTCCTCGTTGTTATTGTTGGAAAAGCTATGCCATGACCAAACAAGAACATTTCATACTTGTCAATTGAAGCTGACAATTTCTCTCTTTACAAATTCATAATTACCAGTGTAGTGTAACAGCAAACTCGAATTTAGCACTAAAAATGAAATTAGACATATTTTTGACATATACAATATAGAGTTGATAGAAGCAATGACTATGACACTAGATTTCCCACTTTGCATTCACGTTTACTTGTTTGTTAACCGATATAGTCATAAAAATTGTTTTTTAGTTTTTATATATATTTTTATGCAATTCACGTTGATCCCCACAGAAAGCCCCTCACAAATGTTCCATGCGGTACATATTATACTTGAAATTTATTGAGTTTAGGCAAATGTCATGTCGAATTTCAGTAAAAGTGTTAGAAAATTTTATATAAGAGATCTTGCAAACTCAGATCATTCACATTTGCAATTGGAACCTGTGTTATGCTCCCTTCAGAGCTTCCAAATCGGTAACCGTGAGGTAGGCGTTACATTTGAGTTCTATGCTTGCTTTGGCAGATAACTGGAGGCTAGATTCAACCAAAAACAAGTTGTTTTGTTGTAGCTCTTACCACCTTATGGATGTTTTGGATGTAGTGAAATAACTTATATACAAAGTCTTCAATAATAAGCGAATGTAGAAGGGATCTCTTTTCGACTCTGTATCTGTATCTGATGTGGCTTAACTTTGGATTTTGAATAGGCACAAAAAATTTAAAACAAGTGGGTTTGATTAGCTTAAAAACCCTCATTTGCTTTGGTTTGATACATGTTATATTTTTGTTGGGTTTGGCTGATATAACTCAACGATAGTTGTAAATGAAAAACTTAAACGAACAAAATGAATAATCATGATCCATTTTTAGTTTTTTTTTTTTTTTTTTTTTTTTTGAACAAGAAGTATGTCATATATTCAAAAGGTTCTAGCAAGTAACTAGAACCAAAACAAAACATTAATTACAATGAAACATTCCAATTAACATTTATTTTGGAAACTCGGTTATTTACCTAATTGAACGAATTCAAAACTATGTAATCAAAAATAACATCTCTACGAATTGGTTTGTTATCGAACAAAACTGAATTTTTATGTCTCTATAGCACCCAAACCGTAACCAAAATAATCACCTCCAAACACTGTATCTCTACCAACGACGTTGTGAGTCGTCAACCCAAGAAAGTCATTGAGATATGGAACTTGTTTGAGGAAAAATCACATTGCACCACCGAGCCACTAACTTCCATATTTAAGCCGCCACTTCACATAAGAAAAAATGACGGCTGGTAGTTTCAGTCTCACATTCACATGTTGGGCACCTTTATGAATTTAAATGCAAACCTTTTTTGAAAAATTAAACCTTGTATGAAGTCTATCAAGGATTAATCTCCAAGTAAAACTATTCATTTTCTCATGACTATTTTACACCGAGTAATGCAATCCACACTTAGTAAGGTACTATCATCAATATGGAGTCTAATCGCATTAATTGTGAAAGTACCTAGTATATCTGACATCCACCAAAATAAGTCATGACCATCTAAAACATGAACACCTTGCATCACCTCCATCGAACATTGAAGTTGTTCATCTTCCCTCCCTCCTCAAGCCTCCTCCACAACCACCTTCATGAGTTATCAAGAAATCGGTCACATACTATAGGCAATTCGGATTAATATCAAGTCTAAACAGACGATCAAATCTTGTAGCAAAAGGTTGCTCACCTACCCACACATCATTCAAAAAATGAATAGAATTCCCCCTACCCAACCGTTTTTGTAAAGTAGATACCGGAAGAACATTATTTTCATGTAACTTCCAAATGGAGCCTACTATCTTAGTGATATTTCAATATATAGTCATATATTTTAGGCAATATATTTATGTTTTTAGCTACATTAGTGATTATTTTCTATAGTACTTAATATGTTTATATTTCATTTTATTTTCTATAGTACTTAGTAAGGTACTATCATCAATATGGCATACACATTCGTTTTAATATGTTTATTCTCGAGGAAAAATAAGCTAAAGCTAAGGTGGACATTAGAAAACTAGAAGCGATCATCAAAGAGAAAATTTGTATAGAAAAGTGATTGTCGCATCATGGTTATATGTATGCCACGGTGTGGTGATGAGTCAAGACATAGAAGATTCCCATATGTATTTCATAGAAAACTTGGAGGCTACGTGAAGAAATGCCTACCACGACGTGGTGAGCCATATGTCATGACATGGTGGCGTGATTTTTGGAAACTATATATATTCTATTATGCATCATTCTAAATGGTAATGTTGTGATTATCTACAATTTTTGACGACCAAAAACCTATTAGAAACCCTAAGAATGCCAGAGATAGATTGAGGAACAAGATTCGAAGAGATCTAAAGACGAGAAGTGATTAATCATTCAGTTTGCTTGATTTCAACATGTTTAATCTAGTTTACTTCATGTTATTTCATTTTTATGATTTAGTTATGGGCTAATAACCCTAGACTTTTGTTTAGAATAGATGATCCTTGATATTATGTGTTGATTTCGATATTATTGGATTTATTTAATTGGTTTTCACTTGTGTTTGATAGATCTATTACCTAACATATTAAAGTTCTTATTTTTATCACTTATCTGCAAGTTATGTGTAGTTAGATGATCATTTCAATTGCATTAACTTGATAATTAACTACTTATGATCATTAAATAGTTAGATCTAGAGATTGAACAAATCCTAGGGTTAGGTTATATTAATTAGCATCTTTGATTGTGTTAGAAAGCATTAGATATCCATGTGCTGTGCTTGATTGATTGTCTTGATGATAGATAAGAAATCGTTAGATTATATCATTCATAGTCTGAATATATTAAACGCTAGGAAATCCGAACAAGATAACTAATAACATTAGAATTCGATAACCAACTAAATAATCAATTGCATAAGAAATCAACCTTAGGAGAAAGGTGATTTGAAGCTAAATGAAAATGATCTTTAATCTTGATTTAAAATCGTATATGTTTTGTTTTCTTTAGTAAAGGTAGTAATTGTCGTTAATTCAATTACTTTTAGTTTATGATATAAGTTTTCTAAACTTGTAAAATCTGAACCCCCCCCCCCCCCCCCTTTCCTTTACAATATTTTCTGAGTTTAATTAGTAGCAACAGTTTTTCATTGAAATCATATTCGTTCCCCTATTGTTCGACACTCTTTCTTACCTTAAACTATATTATTTCGCGACTAGGTACATTGTCTATTTGTTTTTTAATTGGTTGAGATTTGATAGGAATTATAAATAATAAAATTAGTAGTAAATCACACATCACTTACCCCACCCACCATTCGTAAAACATCCCGCATTGGGAACATCCAACCCCGCCATGTCGCCATGTATAGCCTTTATGAGTCTAACCCACCCTGCATAGGTTGAGTAATAAACCGCCAACGCCATTGTTAAAGTAAGGCGTAATTAAAGGTGGACAGACTACCAGTTACAAGACCACCTTTATCAAGACTTGGCAAAACACAATCCCACCTAACCCAAGCAAGGCGTCGATCAGACCGATCCCATCCCCAAAAGAATTGGCTTCTTAGACGTTCCATATCCTTCAAAAGACCTTCTGGTGTCTTAAAAAACAACATGTGATAAATACTAATACTTCCAAGAACCGACTTTATCAATGTAAGATGACCTCCCATCAACAGACATTTGACCTTCCGATTCGAAATACGATTCTTGACGTTGTTTATAATAGGATCCCAACTACTCTTTCTACTCATCTTTGACCCGATAGGAAGGCCCAGATAAGTAAATAGCAATTTCCCTGGATTACAACCATTAATGCTAGTAATACTTGACTTATTCATGTTTAGTTTTAATCAAAACATCAAAAAGAAATCATGCAAAAGCCGAGTGATATTACCAATCTCTGAATGCCCCACTCTCTACGCAATGTCGACACTCCTACAGATACTCATCGGATCATGTGATTAACCACAACCCTTTCCACAACCCGATGGAGCCCTTCCATAGCTAACATAAACAGAAAAAATGATAAAGAACCGCCTTGTCTGAGACAAAGTGCAAAGAAAATTCAAATTTTGGTTTAATTAACTTTTGATCTGGATATTTTATATGGGTAATCACTAATCACTACAATATCCACATGCCTTTTGTAAATCAAATTAAATGAACCAATTTTTTGCATTTATCAAAGTGATCACCAAGTCTGAAATTACCTATTTCCGAAAAATCTCACTCCTAAAATCTGAAATGTTCATTATTACCAATTTTCAACTGAATGTTCATTATTACTGATTTACCTCTTACTTCGGTCCATTAAGAATCTTTGATACCAACATTTTTACCCTCTTATTGGGTCATGTACCTCTTACCTAGTCATTTAAAAAAACATGTTGAGTGAAACCTTAAAGCCTCTATTCCCTTTTCTATCCCTAACATATACATGCACGCCTCCAACAATTGTTTCGTTGCTGCTCAAAGAAGGTGGATAAGTTATGGACGTCGACAACTTCTCCGATTCATCTACAACTTCCCGTAATCGCTTCCTAACCAAGTCGGTTGTGGTTCTTCACCCCGATTGCAGGGAGACCATAACTTGAGTTTTCACCGACTTCGGCAAGTTCGTCGTCGCAATTGTTAACGATTCTATCATAGGTTAGTTATATGATTTTCTTAATGAATCATGCT